CGTTTATATCATTGCTATTCCCCGCCAGCACGTCGCGACGAAGGGCAATTAACTTTACCTCGCTTCTCGTTGACGCTGCGCTTTCTCGATTTCCCCGTCGCGGGGATTTCCGTTTAGCCGCGGCGTCACCATTAAACTTACTTTTCTTCTGTGCTAGCGACAGAACGGTGCAGCCGACGAGAACCTGGCGGCAGACGGATATTGGAATCGCGATATTTTCGTTCGGAAAAGTTCGGAAAGCGAATATATCCTTCACGGGAAGAAGTCGTCCGTCCGTGAGACGGTCGGTTTCCGGAAATGACATGGCTTGGCATACGAACTTCAAATTCTCGGATTAGCGAAATCGCGCGGCCAAAATCTTCACTCTCTCTTGATCTCATTCTTAATCTCACTCTTAAGATAGTTGGGCCGTAGAATGCCGGATATTTTCGATGGAAATATTAAAGGATCCTATATAAGTTTATTATTTATTGAAAGAATACTTTCCTGTAACTTTATTTGACTATCTAAGTAATAAATATTAATTTGGAGCGAAAATAGGATAAATATATACACAATAGGATATATACTAATAGGATAAATATATACACAATATTATAAAACGAGATATTATTTATTTTTTTATTTTTCTTATTAATAATTTATTTATACGTCAGTTTAACTAATAGAAGTGCATACATAATAAAAATGGTATGTAAATATTTAAATATGTGTACATATACATATGTCGCGAGTATTATTTTAAATTGTAAATTGCCAACGGCTGTGTTTTCAAAACAAAATAATCAATAATTCAGGAATTATTGTTTAATGTTTCTATATTAGTCCTTAATATCATAGTAGTTTTTCATTAAAATCCTAGATATGCTCTAGAAGAAATAAAAATTGAAGTTAAAAATAGGATATTAACCTGAAAGAACACATAAAAATGTTATTTTTAGTTTCGAATACTTCAATTACCGAATAGTCGGCAATTTTGTAACTTTACAGACGCGTGTAAATAGAATTTCCATCAATATTCAACTAAAAGTTAAAAGGATTCCTAAAAGAATGATTTGACCGACCACCTATCTTAAGGCACGTGTTCAAGTTCAAATGCACGTACATGTGCGCTTGCACTGGCACAAGAACATGCATATATTGCCGGATATGTTTTCCCTTTTGTTTTTTGTTTCCTTTTTATTTACGCGAGGAAACAAACAGCAAGTAACGTGCGCGGTCATAAAACATTTTTTTACGACTCCGATGAAATCCGAACTTGAAGTAAAAAAATTCCGCTTTTCGTATCGCACAATTTCTATCTCACGATAAATCACGATTAAACGTGACGTACGTCGAAACAACCCCCTCTTCTGGAATACCGAGTGACGCCACGCCGCGAACTCGCCAAGAGATCCATAAAAGATTCGAAAGTTGAGGGAAAAAAAAGAGCTAAAAGGGCTCGCCGTGAGCGGCGCATAATGGTCGTAAATTACGGTTTATGGGGTCGCGCCCCCGACGTTCCCCTTTTGTTTTTGATTAACGTTTTAAAATGCGCAACGCGCGCAACGCCGCGCAAATCGTCGCCTACGTCGGAAGGATCGGGTATTACCGGACGGTCAGGAGGAAAAGGGACGGACGTTCACCGGATCGATGAAGTTCGGAATAAAGAACGTGCGCGGCAGGAAAATGTGTAAATTCTCTTGGGCGAGTGGCGTTCTCATTGTCGACCTGGCCTTATCGTGCCGGGGCTGTATGTATGCCGTGTGTGTATGCACATTTACCCGAACACAATATTTGCGTTCTGTCGGTCTTTGAGAGAACGGTACAATGGTCCTCGTCCAAAGCATCGGCCACGTCGTGCTCGGAGCGAATAAACCTCTCGCGACGCAGCTCCCGACTAGAATTAATTCGTCCTCTGCCATAATGACCGCCAGGCGTGCTGCGCATAATTCATCGGAACTTCCCATTTGGTCGATCTAAAATCATTTCGTTTGCACATATTTCGAGTGAAGCGAATCCCGTTCTCCGAGTGCTTGCGATTTTCATAAAACTTGCGCGAGAAACACGTTAAAGTTAATTTTTGATGACAGTTTTTCTTCTCCCCCCTCGGTGAATTATTTCGTCGAAAAATCGGGAGATCTTTTGAAAAAGGGAGTTGAGATCGGAGACGACGTTTCTATTATAATGATGTCGAAGTAAATCGACGTTTAACGTCGTTTTTAAATTTTTTGCCTTACATACCTCTCGCGCTAAGTGCTTAAATTTATCTTAGTTCTTTCACTTCGAAACTTATCCTATTAATTCTCCCGACTGCCAGAAAGCAATTACTTTTATGTCCACTGTACCGTCGCTGGAGCGCGGAGACCTTCTTAACGAGACTTTCCACCGTAATTGGAATTGTCTGCCGCTCATATTTACCTATTCTTACTATATTGTACTGACGAAAATATTGTTTCTGTAATCAAAGTTAGCGCGACAAAGGTACAGTCATTACGCTGTAAAGCATTATAAAATGTCATTCTGAAACGTCTCGGATTTGGCTTGTCGAAGAAATGTGGGTAATCGGTTAAAGTTCGATATACCTGCTACGTAAATAGCAATAATACGCTTTAATTAAAAAAAAAATCATCTGGCGACCACTCCTCATTTGACCGAATGAGGTACCGGAACGGCAACACTCGTCAACGAGCCTTTATCGAACATAAATTCGCAAGCTCTTTCTTTGGCTCATGTTCGAGCCAAATTCTCCCGTTGCTTGTTTTGCGCATTCTGTGCCGTCATATTAACGAGAAAATAACAGGGGAGAGTAATGAAGAGAACGTCGGCGCAGATTTTCTTGCGATCGTTTTTCCCGGCCATCTTAATGGAGGACGCTGCAGCGCGCAAGATTATTTGTGAAACAACTAGAAGAGAGCAGGAATCTCGTTATGACGCTTCTAGAGTAACACTTAGTTACTCTAACGCGAACGAGTCTCGGTCACGTATTTTCATTCGTCTTTCATGTAATTATTCTTCTCGCCGTTCTCCTCGTTTCCCACCGTCCGGCTTCCCTACGGCGGTGCGCGAGTTCCTCTCTCTCTCTCTCTCTCTCTCTCATTTCCTGTCACGAGTTTATATACCTCCATCGTGCTAACGAATTTGTGAGGTTATTACTTAACATCAGGTCTGTAAACATGTGCAAGTGGGTAGTCTCGAAACTTGTTGATTGGAGAAATTAATGTTTTCTCATTCGCGGCGCGAGGACATTTCGCGACGCTCATCTCGTTCGTTCGTAACTCGAACATTTCTGCGATTGTTCCGCGGCGAAAATGGAAATACGGAAGAGATCTCGCGCGATTTCGATCGGGGAAGAAATCGTGATTCGTATTCTCGGAGGATAGACCTTATCTGAGAATTTATTCCCGGTTAAACAGATTCAAAACGGAAGCGAGCTTTCTCTGGCTCGGATTTTACGCCCTTATCATGTCACGCTTCGTTACTATCTAGCAAAAGTGGATGAGCCGTAATCTCTCGTGCTGCAAGAAAGCGAGACTCGCTCCGTTGCAGTCTCTTTGACGTTGCAGGTGTCATCGCACACGAAGATAATGCAGGGACGCTTCACCTCCGCAAAATTCGCTTATTCCTCTTCACATTTCCCGACGTGATCCTCGCAATGCTTAGCCCCGAGTTTTCCCGGCACCGAGTCGGCATTATTTTCAACGTAAATTCACGTATCATTCATTTAATAAAGAATAAACAATATAAGGATGACAAGTAAGTGTGAGAAGTCCGAGTTAAGAAATCTAAAAAAGAAGTTTCAAGATTCTCTTCTCTTTTATGGAGTTTCAGCAGTTTTTCCCGCATAGAAAAAACCGTGTAATCTTGACTTGAAGTTCTTTTTCTTTTCATACTGAAATTAAATCTCCAAGATCGAGTTTTGAACAAAAGAAATAATTAATCACTTTCCACTTTTTATGTTTCACGTCGGTCTCTACGTTATTCTCGTGCACGTTGCGCTTTACTCCTCGTTACGCCTCGTTACGCAGGAAATTCTACACTCATGAGACGCGAAAAAGGGATCATCCGACTCGCCCCGGAATCTCTCTCACGCTGTGGGCGTCATCACATCCACAGGTGGTACCGACGCAAAGCTTTATTATGCCCTTTTTCAGGATAGCAGTGTCACAGCTTTGTGTCCCACTAGACAATCGCGACTTCGATACTGGAATATTCTACGTTCCGCTAAACTTATTAAATTTCTCGAGAGATGATGTATAATCATAAATCTTAAATGTAAAATGTAAATTACGAGAGTTGCGACTGTTCCGTGAAACAAACGTCGCATGTTATATTAACTCCAACGATGAAAATGCTTGCTTAAACCTTACATTCCATCAGAAAGAATTTGTACGGAGAAAAATAATTTTGCTGTGTAGTGAAACCATCGTTATTATTGCATATTCGTTACGTTAACAATAAAATTTAGTTAATATTACTAATTTAGTAAATTATTCGTAATTACGGCAGAAACTGTTTTGTTGTCAGGACAGAAAATATTCTGCTGAATGAATTTCCTTAGGACAAGTTAATTTGCTGTTAGAACAAAATAGTGTTTTTCTCCATTTTTCTACATTTTTTGATTTGTTTTTACCAAAATAATCTGGCGAATAGCAATTAGTACTCTTAATAAATCCTTTTGTTGTTCATATAATAACACATAAACTAATAGATTTTACTGCAGCAGCATAAAATTTGCTGTGCCAAATTATTTTTATCCGTGTGCATATATAATGATATCAAATTAGAGGTACACGGTAATTAATATACATACAAGTTTACTACTAAAAATAGATAAGAAAAAGGTGCTCGCAGAGGGTACGCGTCATGCATAACGAAAGCAAAATAATTTCAAGATAAGCAGTCGGAATTCCGAGATAGAAAGAGAAAAAAGAAAGAGAACGAGTCGCGCAGATCTATAAGCCACGTAGATCTATTTAAAAAAGCATTGCGTTTACAAGAATCTCCGTTTGATGTTGCAGGCGTCATCACATCGGCTGGCGGTGGCGTGAGGCATCGCCTAAGCGTCGGCTCCGCGTCCGCCCTGAGCTGCGGAGGTGAGAAGCACCGGGATGGCAGGACCGGAAGGACCGGCGATGGCAGAGCCGGGGGCGGCAGAGAGAAGGAGGATGACACCAAGAGCGCGGAGAACGTGTCCAGGGGGGTTTTACCCTCGAGGCAGAGCCTCTTGGACCTCGTCAGCGGTAAATTCATGGGCCGGCACACACCCACGCACCACTACTATCACCAACATCAACAGCAGGTTGGTCCGTCCGCGAGCACGCGATAAAATATTCCTTTCACTGCCACTCGCCGGAAAATATCCTAGCGAGGATCCTACTTGGTACCAGTGCGTGCGCGTGCAACCTTGCCGCGGAATTGTCACTCGATACCTGGCCTTCGAATATTCCTTCTCGCGAAAATCCTCTTCTTCCCGACGAATAATTTCGTGATTCCACGGCGAGAGTCGGACAGTGCGATTTGGAAAGTGCACGCGCGCCCGCATGAAAATGTGAATGTTACTATACGCTATTCGCGTTCTTTATCTACCATATCTCGACCATATTTCTCTTTTTCAAACAACGAAAGGATTCCAACTTTTTAAGTATGAGTTTTTTTCCGTAACTCAGCGCCGTTGCGTATTTCAGACGCGTTTTTTACTTTCAAACACGAATTCTTGTATCATGAAACTTTTCAAGAGCACTGTGAAGTTAATATTAAAACGAAGCTTTGAGATCCGACGAATAAATTCTATATGACACATCTCTGCGAATGTATATGCAGATTTTCGTCGTGGCGAAAGAAAAAGAAAATAAGAGAATAAGAGGGAAAATGAAGAAAAGATCAGAGGAGTTTTCGTAATTACGCTGCGTTAACTAAATATTTCAGTCGGCTTTAAAAAAAAAGGTACAGCCAAATCGTATCCACCCTTGTGAAAAGCGTCGTGTCCGCACGCGAGCACTCGCCGCGACAGGCGCGCTTAATGCCGAACTATCCGACGCGGAAAAAAAAGAATTTGCAGCAACAATCCCCGCGAGCGAAACAGCAACGTTTGCAGTATTCGAGCTGTTCTGATACCGCATAGAAGCCATGCCTCGATGGCTCGGACGTTGCACGAGGACTCGGATAAACCAGCGCGAAAAATATGTGCAGGAGGATCCCCGGGAAAATGAGAAACAGCCATATAGCGACCGCAAACTCTCGTGCGCGAGTGGTTGAACAGAATACGACGAATATATATTAATCAACTGCGGTATTGTCGAGCCGTGTTCGTGCGAAAAACGGCAATTCGCGGCAAAATGGATCAGTAAGCGGCGGTATTAGCACGTATCAACAGCCGGAAACGAGGAGACGGGGTGAAAGCGGGGGAGGGGGGAGGAACGCACGAACGTGGTTCCGCGTGGAAAGGGTGGCTTCCGCGTTGTGTCAACGTCACACCCGGCGGAAACCCTCGTGCATCCTAATTGGTGCAGGTGTACTCTGTTTCACAGCGTTACTTCAGCTCGTCACGCGACTCGCTTCACGATACGTACGTGAACCGGAGAGCGAGCGAGCTCGATCTGTGCCGCAAGCCGAAGAGGAGAGACCACCTAAGGGGCAGATTTAAGCTGCCGTATGCAGTTGCGCTCACGCCATCGCGCGAACAGTCGCACCTGCATACACCGGCGTCGGTCAATCATCTCAGCAACAGCAGCTGCAACGGCACCGAGACGTGAGTACTCGATTAGCAATCGGCGCGGATCGATCGGCAAAGTGTTTCAATTATCGTCGAATATCAAAAAGGTCCGACCGACCTCCGGCCGGAGGCACTCTCGTTACCGAGATATTTCGAAACGGCAGGGGGAAAGACGGATATTCGCGGAAAAAATTCAATTTGATGCTAATTTCGCTTTCCATGGAAGGGGGGGAGGTAAAATCCGCCGGCTGAAAATCCAGGAGGATGAATATAACGAAGAGATCCGCGCGGGGAGATCATAAATATTCAAGCGACTTCTTGGAGGCTTAGTTAATACCGCGCGGGACGGCGTTCTAAAGATATCTTGCGTTTCGAAAGATCGTTCAATTCTCGCTACCGCGAAAATTCTCTTAACTGGAGGTATTTCTCTCTCTCTCTCAACCGGCGGCGAGGGCATTCGTTGCTTGCGAAAGCAACGCGAGATTACGCGAGTCTTCCTAACTGAGCGATGGCAGTTTTATCTTTATATCTTGAAAACTCGAACGAGAGCGACTGCACGCAGCGGGTGTGAGCGAATCTTTTCCACGGCCGCTTCCGTGCGTCCGATACTTTTAACACCGCGGCGGGAGCAGTAACGAAAAATGATCGGCCACGTAGCGGCAACCAAGGCCAGACACGATGGCAATTAATCAACGCGCGTTCGTTGAATTACTGTCTCAGGAGGTACACGGCGCAGCAGCAACAGCAGCAACGCGGTAGTAGGGGCTATCCCGGGCAACCAGGATCGAGGGGTTTCCGCACGGGTGCGCCGAACTGGTCCTTCATCTTCGATCCTGCGGGACGTCTCTGTTACTATTGGTCGATGGTGGTTTCCCTTGCCTTTCTTTACAACTTCTGGGTGATCATCTATAGGTTTGCCTTCCAGGAGATCAACGGTTAGTTCGCGACCAGCTTACGAATTCCTTACCGGGCACGACCGGGAGGGAGGAGGGGGAGGGAACGTTTTATGTAAGGCTTCTAGGCCGAGATCAGAAATTTATAAGGGCTCGAACTTTGTGAAGTCCGTTAATCTGTTTTCTTAAAAAATTAATTAAATCTTGAAAGTAGGCCGGCGAACTTTGGGGATTCGGTTTTTACGTTGATTAAATCGTAAGAGCGAGAGGTTCTAACAAATGTGTGCATTTGAGGTCAAAATATATATATATATATATATATGCATAAAATCTTGTCTTTCTGTTCGCGCGCGCAATATTTTTATGTGTAAAATGCGATATTAGTGTATCTGTTGTTTTCAGCATTTCGAAATGTCGCAACTGTCAATTATTTTATCTGTAAACAGATGTTCGCGCGTAACACAAGGAAGGGAATATTTTTAATTAAAATTATGTTCAACGTGCATGGATTTGAATTTGAACGCATTCTGCAGGAAGCGAGCGTAACGGCAGGACGGATATTCTAAAAAGTAAATTAAAACGCTCTTATGAGAATTATATTACGCCTCCGTGTATATTCTTTAGTTTATCGGTGTGGAAGCATTCCAAAACTGTGAATTGCTCTTGATGACATTCTATATCCAAGAGTTTCAAACGTTATTAAGGGAATTAAATTTTCGTTAAAACGTTCAACTTTAACGTCTACTTTAATTAAATGTTAAAGCGCCGCCGATGTAGCGGGCAATAATTTATAAAATAATTTGTGAATTAAATAGAAAATAACGATATCAGCAAAATATATATTTCGTTGAGTATCGTAGAGCAATCGTTTTTTCACAATTGCAATTCGCAAACACAAAAAGTGGAACTAAATATAATAGCGTTCGGTAGCCAAACACCAATAGCTTTCGAGTTATAACCGAATAAAAAACAAAACAAAAATTAACGAATTAAATTTCGAGAGTTTATATAATTTTTATAAGAAGACAAAATAGAGCTAAATGTAGTTGTTAAATGTAGTTGTTAAATTCTCGAAATTAACTGAAAAGCGTCATAAAGAACGATTATGAACATACATATTGTACACATTGCGATGAAAGTTGTATCTGTTTGCAAATGCAGGAGAGACCCGTTGGGTATGGTTCTGCCTGGACTACTTCTCGGATTTTTTATACGTGCTCGACATAATATTTCACATTCGAACGGGATACTTGGAAGACGGCGTACTGCAAACCGACGCCACGAAACTAAGAAATCATTACACAAACAGCACCACGTTTTACATAGACATCCTGTGCCTGCTGCCCCTCGACTTTTTATACTTATCTATAGGATTTAACAGTATGCTGCGAAGTTTTAGACTCGTAAAAATTTACCGGTAATTGTCTTACAATATTTGCACTTTATTCTATTTCTTTACGATTTCTTTAGTTTTCGTAACGTATAAACTATGTAGAATTAACTATATAGAATTCTATGTACAGCTTTATGTTTCGCATAGAATTTTAATTTCTTTTATATAGCATAAAAATTATGAATTACAATGCATGATGAAATCTGTGCGTATTCGAGAAACAATTATTTCTCGCGCGGAATTAAGCGGAGCGCAACGAACGAATGGGTACTTTTTTATATCCGCGAGAAGCACGCGCAGTTCTTTCCATCTCGACAAGTCAAATACAGGAATTCGAGGTGAATAGACGAAATCGAGCGATATTGTGGGTTTCTTTTCCTCTCGTCTCGGCTCGCCGCGCTATAATTGATTCTGGGGAGTGTGTAAGCGTGAAAAGTTCGGATTTCCTTCCGTGGAGCACCACCGAGCGAGACTTGTTTGGGCTAAGCCGAGATTGAAAAGGATTGTGAAAGTTTGAGTGTAAAGTCACGGTAATTCGGCACTGATCTTTCGCGCGTGAACGTTTACATGCCGGTGCAAACATCGACGATCTGGTTATGTCGAACAAAAAGCAAGAGAAGAATGAAAGAGAAAGAGAGGTGTTAAACGAACAACCGTGGGCGTGTTGCTTTTCAACATTATCGTTTAACTGGAGCAACGCGTGAGAGAATCGCCGTATTTCCTACGAACGTGAAAAATTCCGCATCGAGCGTCGTTTCGTAGCGCCATCATTCCGACCACCGACGGCCAATCGAAGGGGCGGCGCGTTAACGAAACGGAATTTCGCAGCACTCGTAAATAATAAATAAAACAAGAAGTCTGAAAACGGAAAGCGAATTTTAACCTGTTGAAGGCCTCGCGGCGACCTGGATTCTTCCTCGTCGTCGTTCACGCGCGTCCATCCGCGCACGGAGATTAAAAGAAACTCTCGCTCGGCCGTCCGAAAACGTTCGTTGCGCCTCGCGTGAGATCCTGGCCGCGATGTTCCACGAGGAATTCCGAAATTTATCGCCGCGACCGCCGGAATTTCCTGCCAATTTTCTCGACTCTCTCTCTGCCTCTGACGTAGGTTCTGGGCGTTCATGGACAGGACCGAGCGACACACGAACTACCCGAATTTGTTTCGCTCCACCTCCTTGATACATTATTTACTGGTGATCTTTCACTGGAACGGGTGCCTCTATCACATTATTTATAAGAACAACGGCTTCGGCAGTAAGAACTGGGTGTTCAGCGACTCTGAAACGGCGGACGTGGTGAAGCAGTATCTGCAGAGCTACTACTGGTGCACTCTTGCTCTGACGACCATCGGTGATCTGCCCAGGTATTTTTTTTATTTCGAATAAATCTCGTTGCGCGTTATTGCGGGAGGATTTCGAGTGTGGGAGACGTACGAGATGCGGACGCACGATCGGTCGCTTCCTGCGTTCGAAAGATCGCAAAAAGCGACGGAAAAAAAAGATCGCTCGCGCATACGCAAACTTTTATTCGCTCAAACGTTCAAATTCCCTCTCGCGCTACGTTCCTCTCGCTGAAGTTTTCATACCGCAGAATTTTTTCATTCGTTTTCGTAAATTACGCATAAGATAAAAATGTGCGACGCGCGTAAATGCATAGCCAGCGATTTAGTCGTGTGGCGCAAAGAAAATTTCGTAAACGCCGGCCGCAATTATGCGGCAATTTTTGACACGATAGTCTTCTCGCGTGTCCCATCCGCGCGTAATTCCTCGGGTATTATCCTATTTTTGTTTTTTTAACGTCGCGACAGCCCCCGAGAATAGCTTTTACGACATTATAACGCGCATTATTTTCAAATCGATGTACACGGCGCAGCGGTAAAAGCAGAATATCAAACGCACGCGCAACGTCATCGGGGGGATTGTTAGAACGCCGCTTTTCCCATCATTTTTCTTTCTCCCTCGTTTTTTATTTTAATTTCACGTCCGCGCTTCCACTGCAGTACACCCGCCGGGATTTCGATATCATTAACCGCATATAGCGTTCTGCGCGTAATTCTACGCATTCCCGCGCGCGATCAGTTTTTAATAAAAACGCGCCGGGGACACATCGTCACCGCCACTCGCGGTTATAACGCGGCGTGTCGCGGTGTGGCTGCAGCATGCGCGAAATGTAGCTTTTCATAAAATCCGGCATGTGGATGCGCGCACGAAATATGCGAACCGCCGCCGAAAAACGTCTGAACGGAACGCACACGGTTCACACGGATCGACGGTCTATTCCTTTTCGCGGTATTTTACCGAGCGCCGCTCGAAAATGCATTACGCGATTACACCGATCTCTCTCTCTCGTCCAATGACGTTTATTTTAAATTCACGATGTGCGCGCGTACACGTCGGAATCCGTCGTGTTTCACATCAGAAGGCTCCCATGGGGAAAACGAGTGAAATTATCGGAATTATACGCCGATACTCGGCGACGCAAAATGAATACTCGGAGTCATTATCTCTCATCGCCGACCCGGCTGGCCGAGAATCATATAATCGGGCGGGCAAAAAAAGAGTCGGCCGGTGCGAGCAAATGGGTCGGTATTTTCGTTGGCGCACTTAAAATAGAGGAATCCACGCCGGCGTGAGAAAACGTTTCCGTGCCGATGTATTCGTCGAACAAAGAATCTCTATCCGAAAGCTTTCTTATTAGGTCCGAAAACGGCGCTACGTCTATTATGAATGATTATTTAATAAAGGCATGGAAAACATCGAAAAATGGTACGGAGGAAGAACGTGTTTTCGCTTTACTCACATTTGCATTTTCGAAGAGAGATATTGTCGAATTGGACCTTTTCGCGTGAAAGAGCCGGCCGATTATCTCGATTGAACGTGTCGAAGGGAAAAAATATGAATATCGGTGGAACGACATAATGTGTTCATCCGCGTTCTTCCCTCCTCTTTTTCTTCCAGACCGAGAAGCAAGGGCGAATATCTCTTTGTGATTGGTCAGCTTTTCTTCGGTTTGCTGCTGTTCGCAACGGTGTTGGGACACGTCGCAAACATCGTCACCTCTGTCAGCGCAGCGCGAAAGGAGTTTCAGGGTGAGTCAGATTCAAATTCCATGCATGCGCTTTTTTTTTGCATTTGCCCCGGCGGATGGCACTTAAACTTTCCGCCGAACGACATTCCGCCCTACGAAGGTAGAATAAGATCGACCCTCTGGCGATTTCTTTTCCTTTTTTTTTTTTTTTACGTCACGAGCAACGTAAATTTTTATCGCGACGTGCTCGAATTTTAATCGTGTATCTTATGAAAGTTTACTTCGATCCGGTCGGAGAGAGAGGCAGGAAAGAAAGAGATTCACGAAGACATTCATCTCTTGGCTCGTGATTGTAAGCGCAAACAATTCGACACGCAACGTACCTCACGGCGCGCAACGAGATTTACGATTTTCATCTGATGCCTGAAACGAGTTAGGCGAAAGTTCGCCAAGTTCGTGTGTAACGTTTAAAACGACGGCAATTATTCATATAAAGTGCTCGAATAAGGTGAATCAGAGCGCGAACTGTGGCTGGCATTAGCGAACGTCTTAATCCAGATTCCGCTTCCGAAGTTTAAGACTTAACTCGACACAACACACACGAGAAGAGGGAATCACGCGGATACAAGAGAAATAGATGAATAGAGAGAGAGAGAGAGAGAGAGAGAGAGATAGAGAGAGAGAGAGAGAGAGAACGGTAACTGTGTCACTGCGTCAGACAGATAAAAGATGGGGGCGTCAGGTGGCGGGTTCGACACGATGGGAGGGTAAAATCCAAAATTCACAAGGACGATTGTCCTAATGTCCTTTCTTACGTAGGAAAGAAGGGAAAAGGTATGCTTCCTCGGTACGAACCGGCGACTTGAGTTATCGCGCGACCGAATGAATTTTTACGACCAACTTCTTGCGTCCCTTAAAAAATGCAGAAAAACAGGCTTATCCTTTCGCCGTGTTCTAAGTCGTTCGAGTAGTAACAGCTTGGCAAATTGCCACGAGGCATCGTCCCTGGAGGCCTCTCTGGCTCTCTCGAGCCGTTTCATCGCGTCGAGAGGATGATACATAACTGCATTTTCAATTAACGCCGAGCAGGAAATGGACACTTCGTTCTGCGCCGGAGTCCCGTTTTAATTGCGCCGCGCGATGCAGTTTCGCCGCCATCCGCATTTCCGCTCTTACACCTTCGGTATTTCACGACTCGCCGGGTTGTTACGCGTCTCTCTCCCTCCTTTCTCTCTCTGCGAAATGATTTTCCCCGCGATTCGACGTTGGGATTCTGGCGCAAGAGCGAGCAAGACGCGATAGGACAGTCGCTTTAACGCGACCTTCCCTTACGTCGAGGAGCGGCAGAGCGCGACGTGCTACGACAATAACCGTCGACGCCGAGTTCCGGCCGTATCGCGTGATGCTCCAGAACCACGGAAGATATAACTGAGAGAGAGAGAGAGAGAGAGGGGCAGAAGACCCCAACATTGTACGAGTAAGCTTCTTGCGCACCGTTGTCCGATTACCGTGAAGTCTCGGGGATGTATTTCGCGGTGTTACTTTACGCGCGCGCGGACAACCGCTCGCCAGAGAACAAACGTCCGTCTCTTTCATCCCGGAAGTAAAGTTTGACGCCGATTGAGTTTGATATTAGTCACAGTCCGGCTGTGGCACGTGACTTTTACGAACCCGCTATAGCGCCACCGGCAAGTGCACTCTGTACTTATTTTTCGAGATACTGTCAGCAGACGCGTCGCAACAATTGAAACGTAGTCCTCATTTCTTGCGCTCACGCAAGGAGAAGAATTTTGCTGTCCCAGCGAAGAAGTCGTCGTTGCATTTTCGTTTTGGCAACGATAACATTTAGTTGGTATAACTGAATCAGCGAGTTATTCGTAATTGAAGCAGAAACAGTTTTGTTGACGGGATAGAAAATATTCTGCCGAGTGAATTTGTCCTTAGGACACGTTAATTTGCTGTTAAAACAAAATAGTTATTTGTGTCTGTCGTGCTTTTTAAACGAATGAGCGCATTATGTAGCACAAAATCGGGAAAGGTAGGAAACATGAAAACAGCATTTGTCCCAATTACGGCTTCTAGCTGGTCGATTAATATCCTCTTAAGAGGGTTTGTAAATCCCTCGACCATCGTAGAACAAGGAAGGCAGACACGATCAATGTTTAATGATGGTCTTTGGGGATCGTTGAAAAGCCGGAACGAGTTCTCTCGTTATCTTCATTATGTCGGTGAAAGATTTCGTTGACGTAATGACGTGAGAGCGAAAATTTGCGAAGCCCGCGGAGAAAATCGAACATATGCGTTTTATTTATTTCGCCTTCAACATCTATGACAATGTTAAGAAAACGATCGTAAAGTTCCTAATTATATCGTATGAATGCGTAACCCGTATTCCATTTGCCGTGCGTTTATATACGATTCTACGTCTTTTAGTTTTGCCGAAGCTTAATCGAAATGTCAATCGTAATACTAGAAAGAGATTAAATTTCTCTTTCTGTAACGACGAGAAATTAAATTACATTTCGATTGCACGTAGAGTTATAACGATGGCAAAGCGAACAAAATACCGTGAGACAATGACTCTTTAGCTTGTTAAGAACGTGCACGTTCGATAATTATCTACCTAGAATATACAGGGTGTCCCAGATACATGGAGAAACAAAGGAAGCCACTATACATGGGCATTTTCAATAATTAATAACTCGAAATTTTGCATTTTTTTTTTTTTTTGCAAAATAGTATATAATTTTTTGCTCATCTCAATCTGTTTTACGCCCTCATGAAGTTTTTGCGAAGTTGATCCGAAACATCCTGTATATTACTGCGATAAGATGTACGGGATACGCGTTCTACTTCATTTACCGGCGAATTCCTTGATTTCGACTCCGTAGAATCACGAAGTACATTAATTTGGTCGCTTCACAAAACTCACGCGCGATGCGTGTCCCGAGTTTTGACTGACAAGTAATTATTACCTCGCCCTTCCGATACGCGCGTATTCAAATTCTGGACTCGTTATCAAGCTTTCGACGTTTCCGTCAGCCCCCCCCCCCCTTCCCCCAAATAACTATTGGTTTGTGCAAGCACCTCGTATGAAATGACGTCCACATAGCTTGTTATTGAGCAATGAAAAGCAGGGCGTTGACGCCGTTAACGAAAGAGGAAAAAAAGACACACCCGCGCGTACATTTGTATGACGAGACAATCCAATATTACAGAGGATCTGAATTTATTTACCACGATGATCGGCCGAATCCAATAGACTCAATATCGCGGGATTAATTCAGCATAATTGACGTCGATTTCGTTGGAATAGCCTCGTTGGATCACCAACGTGTTCTCTCATAATACGAAGCCGGTTAGCCAAGAGGAGTAGCCGATACTTAGATAAGAAATCGCAAAAGTACGACGCGCAGGAAATAGCGTCACATAGAAATGACGGAATAATGGAAATGTTACGATAACGGTTTGAGAGTTCACTTACGCGGAATCGATCGGCCATTGAAACTTAAAGAAGGAAAGCGCGACTGCGATTCTAAAGAGCGGGATGCGAAACGGCGTAAAATTCTCCGCCGGGAATCGCCGGCAGCGCAAGTAAAACGCTCTATTTAACGTTATCAAATCTTCCGCGTGTGTACCCGTACAACCTCTTCCTGCCCTCTTCCCCTGTAAACCGATTTAAATTCGATGCGGGAGGGGGGAAATTTTATTTACGACGCGGAATGGAGAATTGCGCCAAGATTAATACTATAAATGTAATTCCGTGAGATCCGCGGAAATATAAAATGCAGAACGACGGCGTGGTAATGACCGCGCACGGGCGCGCGCTCTTTACTTTTACAATTTTCCCGGCGGAATTAAACTGCTTCCGGCGGCAATGCCGGTGATTAAATATGGAACGCAATAGAATTTCTTCTAATTCCGTATTCGCTCGCCTTCAGCTACGCGAAATCTCGTTACGAGCTGCGCGATATCGTTATTGCCCCGGCCGGCGCGCAGAGTTGCTACATGACAATCGTGGATTTATTGGATTGCTGCGAATTACCCCGTGCGGAATAAACAAACAAATGCTCACACGTGGCAGAAAATAGAAAAAAAAAAAGAGAGAACACGAGCGCGCGCGCACACGTGTGCGAAATGGGTGAAACAAAAATCTTAACGCGCTCACTTGGCAAAATATCTCGTCGGGGATGCCGCAACGTGGCGGAAATAAAAAAAAATGTACGTATTAATGTACGTAACGAAAATCGCGCGGAATGGCGTCCGTTGTAGCACGCTGTAAGGTAAAGTTTCGTTTAAAAACGCAGCGGGAAGATCGTGAAAGTAATTCATCAAATTCATAATTTCCCGCGCTCCTCGTGTCGTCGTTCGTGCAACAATTTACGTCGCAAACGTCGTCATAGTCGCTCGAAAAGTTTTCCAATTTGCCATAATTACGACGGGGAGAGCGTTCACCAGACACTCCCTCCCTCACAATTGGCTATCATTAAACGGCTATAGCCGTTGACGAGTTCGCCCTGAGTTTACACGTCTCGCGTACGCCGGGCGACGATTTAGATACGCCCGCTATTCGCGCGGAGTATTGCCCGCGATTGGCGCAAAACTCCCGTGATTTCGCAGCCACGTCGCCGTTGCGTCCGCAAAGTTCACTTTTAATTGGCCGTCATTAAATAGTTTATTAGCGCGTTACGCTCGCGGTGAGGACTAATTGGAAATAACCATGCATGACGAAACCCCTCGTTAAAGCGGGCGTGCAACGCCCAAAAGAGACGTGTTTAAAACTTGCGCCGCGAACGTAACTCGGACGACCTCTTGCGATTCTCCTGAAACGAGATATATACGGTGGCGACGGTGAGGACAGGACACACCGGGAGGATTAAATTTATACCGCTCGGAAGAAGACAGTGAAAGTTATCGCTTTATTAGATCTGGCAACTTTCGCGTTTTCCGTTTCTCCGTTCTATTTTGCTTTATGTATACGACGAAATATTTCACGATGAAGTCCAGTCTAGGGGTGGTATAATTCGATATATTCGAAGCTTCGAAACTTCGATACAATTT